CAGCCAGAGGCGACACAGCTCTGTCAGGCGGCTCAGCGCCTCCTCCGCAACAGACACGTCCCCTTAGCGCAGCTGCGAGAAGCGTCTCCGGGAGGTTTAGGTGTCCCGCCAGGGTCCTCCTTCTCCTCCGCTTCTGCCTTCACCACCACCGCACAACTCGCCGCCATAGCAGCCTCGGAACCATCCTCCGGGGCCCTGAAACCTTGATGAGCTTCCCGGAGCCAAGGCCCGCGGACACGGCCCCGACAGCTCATGCCCATGCCCAGCGCGCCAGCATAAGAAAACAAACCAGGCCGGAAGTGCACCTTCAACCGATGCAAGCTCCGATGCAGAGAGGCCCCTCCAGTCCTGGGTCGCTCTTTGCTCTTTGGAGGACTAAGAGGCATCTCTGGTTAGCCTCCCTGTGGCTTGGCTTCCAGGCCAGGTCCTTAAAGAAAATGATGTAAAGCAGGTAGGGTATGTCTGTGTGGACTGGGGTTGGGGGTACACACTACTTGGAGGGTCCCTGTCTTGAAAGAAAATCAGAAGTAAAGAAATAATAATATTCCGTTGCGCAGATGTAACCCATTTTCTGTATCCATTCCTCAGTTGAGGGGCATCTGGGTTGTTTCCAGGTTCTGCCTATTACAAATAAAGCTGCTACAAATATGGCTGAGCAGATGTTTTTGTTGTATACTTGAGCATCTTTTGGATATATGCCTAGGAGTGGTATAGCTGGATCTTGAGGAAGTGATATTTCTAATTGTCTGAGAAAGTGCCGGATGGATTTCCAAAGTGGTTGTACAAGTTTACATTCCCACCAGCAATGAAGTAAGGTTTTCCTTTCTTCACATCCTCTCCAGCATGTGTTGTCACTTGAGTTTTTGATCTTAGCCATTCTGATTGGTGTGAGGTGAAATCTCAGGGTCGTTTTGATTTGCATTTCCCTGATGACTAAGGACATGGAGCATTTCTTTAAGTCTTTTTTCAGCCATTCGATATTCCTCTACCAAGAATTCTCTAAGGAAAGCTTTGTCTGTCTGTCTTAACTGTATGTATGACCAGTACATATTTATTTTTGATTGGTCTTAAATGTATATGCTCTGTATGTCTTGGTCATTGATTAAATCTGTAACATCTGTAATAAAAAGTTAAATAACAACAAAAAAAAGAATTCTCTGTACCTCATTTTTTAATTGGATTACTTGATTTGCTGCTGTTTAACTTCTTGAGTTCTTTATATATACTGGATATTAGCCCTCTGTCAGATATAGGGTTGGTGAAGATCCTTTCCCAATCTGTAGGCAGTCGTTTTGTTCTGACAACAGTGTCCTTTGGTTTACAGAAGCACTCAGCAATAAAAAAACAAGGAAATCATGAAATGTACATGTAAATGGTGGGAACTGGAAAAGATAATCCTGAGTGAGGTATCCCAGAAGCAGAAAGACACAGAGGGTATATACTCACTGCACTGGGCCTGTGGGGTCCCTGGGGCACATTCCCCGCAGGAGCCCCAGGTGTGGTCCTCCCAAGACCAAGACTCAGCCTGGACTAGGAATGGAATGGTGGCAACCTCCCCAAAGGCATCGCCAGGCTCTGCTGACCCCCCCTGTGCTGAGCAAGGACAGGGTTCTGCCGTTCCCCGCTGTGCATGCACAGGTGCGTGGCCAGATTGTCTCTCCTGTTGAAGCTCTTGGCGCACTACAGACACTCGTAAGGCTTCTCCCCGGTGTGCTTACGAT